ATCTAGTGATTTTTTAGACAACCAGACTGTATTTCGTAATTAACAAAACGCTCGGTGCCAGACGAAAAACCAAAAAGAACACAATTTTGCATGAGAGCTTCTTTGTCGTTACAAGTCATGGAGACATGATTCAAGGGTAAAGAATGAATTAAATGTTCTGCTTCAACCTATAAGATTATTAGTGCTTCCTTGCACAAAAGTTGTTTCTCATAATACGGCTATTATTTCTTTCACATTTTTGATTAAACTTTTATAAGCCCTTACCATGTGCGACGCAGTTAATAGATTGAACTTGTGAAAAAAATTATTTTTTAAGCTGATTCTGACTCTAGCTTGCTATTCCAAGACATGATAGATTATTTTAATTTTCGTTGAGCATCTTCGAAATTATTCCTAGTATTGCTAAAACTCATTTGGAAAAAAGTCCTTTTCTTTTATATATCTTTGCATGGCCATTATAATTAATACCGTGTTTTAATTATGAACTAACTCAAAATTTACTGCTTTAGTACTTAAACACGTAAATAATGTACCCCAGCGTTTTTGAGGCTACGACCAACTTTTACATAAAGTGGCTAGAAATAGTATAGTCCAAAAAAAGTTAAGGGTCAAAAACGATGCCTAAGACAAAAGTAAGATATGTAAGTCTTTTTTATGTTTGGAGGGTAATTTCATATTTGACATATCACACATTTACTTACGATACTTTTCAAATTTTAAGAACATTAAAAATCCATAATTACTGCCCCAATTCGTTTAAACGGTTTCGAAACCCTTATGAAAAAACTTTTCATGATAATGATATATTAATTAACAGGTTGCTACGTGAGTGACATCTAAAACAATCAGAACAAACCTATTTTGTTCTTCCCGGATGAATGTAACTCAACCATTTACATGTACAAGATTATAATCATCTAAGAAAAATTTTAACCCAATTAATCGACTCTTTCGCGGTAAATTTTAATTTTTTTTTAAAAGATCTTTCTTTTTCTTCATGAAGTTTGATTGAATAAATGTAAGCCACGTAAACTAAAAAATCTAAATCTGGAAATTGAATATTTTTGCCAAGCCAAATGTCTTGCGCCAAGAGAACGAAATCAACTGATTGATTTAAATTTGTCCAAGATAGAAACTTCAAAAAATCTGGTGAAAAAACAATACTTATAGAAATTTTAAATGATATCTTTAAGGCACAGACTAATTTTCTTTTTTGAGAAAAATAAATTTTACGTACGTACAATTTTTTCGAAAGGTCTAGAATTCTCTTGTTTGCAAAGAAACTCAAGTACAACAAAATATCGCCTATTACTACTGAAAGCCTGCTAAACTAGCCAAGTTGACTTATCTGCAGAATTTTTGATTAAAAGAACTGATCTTTATTTTGAGGCCTTAGTTTTATCGAAAATGTCAATCAAGCGGTTCACTACAAAGGAGTATTTTGTAAGTGGACCATTAATTATTCATCTCAGCAAGATCTGAGCGTCTGGCGAAAAGGAACGACGGTCAATACAAAACAAGTGTTCTCCTACAATTAATTCAGCTAGTTTAACTACTGCAACGACTGCTTCAAGCTCTAACTTAGGAACAGTTCTAGCACTTACAACCAGTAAATGAGTTTCAGAGGACAGGTATTCATCAGTTTAAGATGTTTCCACTGATGCAAATTTATAATTTTTCCAGTCTATCAGCACCGAGACTGCCAATACACCCATGCAATAAACAAACTTTTTTTTATAAGAATGGAGAAAAAATTAATAAAAATTTCAATTTGTTTTTTCACGGTGTAACTCTATTTTTAAACAGGTGCCATTGGGACACTAGCTAAAGTAGTACAAGTTTCAGTTGCTGATCCCGCAACAACAACATTACATCCATTCTTACACTTCCATCAGTGCAGGAGACACTCATTGATCAGAAGAGTTTAGTAGCAACTGGATAAAGTCGATTGTGAGAAACGTAATTGTTAGTAACGATGAGTCAAGTATAGTTTATGCAGAAGATGATTATAATTTAAATACACCTCTTGGTTACATTTATGGTGACATTATCAAAAAAGAAAAAGAATGAAAATAATAAAAAAGTAAGTATAGTGGACAAAACCATCGATCAAGAGTTGCAACAGTTTTTCTGTAAGTCTACGTTTGCAAGCAATTAAATGACATAAGTAATTAGAGTCTCCTTAATTACTATCATTTTAAAATAAAACACATCATTGAAAACGTTTTTTTTGTTTAGGTTACAAAAAACAATATCATTCGAGGAAAAAAGCGTCCTCCCCCTTTCAGAGTTCATAACGACTCTCGAAAAAAAAAAAAAAAAAAAAAATATTAAAAAAAAAACAGGATTATTCGGAGATGCACATGAATTATGAGAGAATTACACAAGTTGCGCTAGCAAGAGCGTCTCAGATATGGAGGAACTTTTTGTATCGTTACAAGGATTCAATCTAGAGAAAATTTTTTATATGAAACGCAAGAATAAAAAACGATAATGATAGGCATGCAAAGAGAGATAAAAATTTTATTGTCAGAATTAAGGACATAAATGAAAAAAAAGTGTGACATAGTTTGGTAAAATTTTTTTAAAAATTAACTTACGAGAACTACACTGAACATTGTAAGAGAAATATCAAAAAACCACAATAGATTTTAGAAAATTGACTTAACTCTGACCCCTCAATTGCATTACAGTTAATGGCAGTGGTACGCGATTCGGTTAACATACGCCATCAAAGTCTTAAAAAAGTATTACTTGATTGAAATTTTTCCAAATAACTTCAAAAAACATTAAAACTGTAAAAACTGTACTTCCACGATTATTCATGAAAAACAGAACTTGCAAAAGCTAATCTTCAAGTTGAGTCCCTTTGTAATGAATGTGAAGGTCATGTACTTACTTTTTAGTTTAGAAACCCAGTATGATTTAGTGTGCACTGAGAGGTCAATAGATAAACGAAGGTTTCAACTGTTTTTCGTAAGAACTTCATTCCTTAGTTATTACTATGATAGATTTATAGAGTTTATTTTAGACACAATCATTTAAAAAAAAAATGAGAAATGAGCCATTTGTATTCGTACATTTTTAATTTTTTTTTTTTTTAATAAATTGACCTACTTTAATTTCATCACATGCTTTTAACAGTACTTTTTAAGATTTCGTTAACCTGTGAAATCAATTATTTTTCTTTTAAATGTATAGCACTACAGCTTGTGACAAGGGTATGCGCTTAGTTAATGCTTGCACACATACGTGTGCATGATAGAAATTTTAAAATAATGCAATTAGATCGAAATTTTTCTAGAAAAACTTATGAAAAAAGAAATAACCACAAAAAATTTTACTTTTATGAATGCTAATGAAAAATGTGTGTATTTTTGAGAACATTTATAGGAATTTGAATAACTTCACACTTACAGACATTTATCATGGTAAGTGGGAAAAAAGCTCAGAGACATGAGGGGAATGCAAACATTGAGCAACACTGGCAATTATTTTGTTCGTATGGATATACCTATACATACGCAAAAACAAAAGTTTGGTTCCTTTAAAAACTCACTGTAATGTTCATCTCAAAGTATTCTATCTTACGCAAACAATTGAGAGATTTTTAAAGATCATTTCTTTATAAATACTATTTTACCTGATTTTTTTTTAGGCTACGTGTTTAATTTACATTTTTTTAAAAAAGGAGGTTATCCCAATGTCTTATTTTCTATGAATTTTTGGAAAAAACAGATAGGTCGAAGCTGACTATATTAAGAAGCACTATCCCGCATTTCAAAAGGCCAAGCTTTATAGTTTACGAGATGTTGTCATGTCAAGTAGCACATTATGCCAAAAATTAAGCAAATAAATGACAAGACCCGAACTGCGCATGCACGAGTACTTTCACTCATAAAAATTCATCCTTACGAGAAGAGAAAGGTGTACAGTCAGCTCGGATCTCGACGCACCAAACTATTAACGCATTTTATACCACGATAACCCCTTAAAAATTAAAAATATAAAAAATAATACAGTGGAACGATCTGAAGTTTTGTGTAAGATATTTTACGGTCTAACGGGTGTACGTTCGAAATTTAAATGATATTTATCAGAAAAATCTATGTGTCATGAACGTCCTTATAATAAAACGGTAGTATTGCCAACAAACTGAAATGCTTGTGATGCAATTTGGTGCAATTATGAATGCATTGCTTAACAAAGAAGTCTAAGAAAAGGTTTAAGAGTCTATATTTACATGCTAAAAGTTTTTTAATTATAAGCTAAGACTTACTTTACAAATTTTATTTTTTTCAATTAATTGAAAAAAGCAGCACTTTCTCAACCAAAAAAAATCTTGGTTAGAATTCAAACTGACAAAAAAAAAAATTTGATTTGCTATTAAAATGCAGTTGAAATTAGTAGCAAATTGCAGTAGCGATAACATCAAATAATAAAATTATCTTTAGATATGATTGCATGAAAACTAGACGAGGTACTATGATAATTTAGTAAAATAAAAGATATTTATTTCTTAATTTTGAGGGTGCCTATAGCAAAATTTTGTATTTAATGGTACCACTGCAGAGCTCGGCTGTTAAATTTTGCTTTACATTTTTAACATCTTTAGTACCAGTTTCAGAGCGTACTTAATGCACAATATTCATTTTCTGCAAGGTATTTTGTAAAAAAAATTAACAAATGTTTTAGAAAAAAATGTGAAACAAAAAGCTTTCTAAAAAAACCTATGAATAAATAACTGTAGACTATAATTTATATCAGCATTATATTTTCAGTAATTAAATGTATTTTTTTCAAATCGTACCTTACGTTTAAATAAATGCTTCAAGCTACGTAGTGATTAGTATATTACATTTAAGTGATAATGATACATGCACTACAATCTCAAGTTCCACTGTTAAATTCATACGGCAATTCAATTTTTAATATGTTACAATTGAATACGAAATATTATAATACTGCGACTATACTATATAGTGAATGATAAAACTTACTATTCGACAGGGTCGTTTTTGTCTGAGATGAGTTTGCTGAATTCGAGGTAAGCCCCAGCGTACCAGTCGTAGTAGTCAAGGAGTTATTGGTAGTAATTACGTTATTCTCATATTGCAAATCTTTATTACAATGAAGCTTATGATCTTGAGAACTCGACTGAGTTTGACAGCCATAGTTGGAATATGTGTTAGAATAAACCTAGAAAAAAATATTTCACAAAGTAAAGTAGAAAGTTGAAAGAATGCTTATTTTACAATCTTAATTAATTATGCTTTATTCTGTAAATTACTTGTGATGCTTCTATTACATGCGTTATATTAAATATAATATTTTACATGTACACGTGTAGGAGATGTACAAATCTTTAAAAATAAGTTTAGGTAAGATTTTATTCTAAAAAATCAGATTTTTTAGTAATTAAAGAACTAATCAAATAAAAGAGTTAGAATTTTTTTCAGTACCTATCCACTATAGTTAAAAAAAATTGTAACACCGTTATTAAATGAACCTTTGTGTGTGTTGTTTTGTTAAAAAATTTATGTATAAGACAGAAATATTCAGAAAATAACAAAACAATCTTGTAAGCAAACTTTTTTCTTTTTATGCTGAGTAATTCTTGTGACCTTTGTATTTTAATCCACTGCAAAATAAATAAAATAGGTCAAACCCTTAGACGCAGTAGGGATTGCTGGAGATCCTTAGATGTAATATTATTCGTTCAGTTATCAAAGAAGATACTTTATTGTTTACGTGTTGTAAAATAATTTAGTTGTAACTCAACTGATCTGAGAAATAAGAAGTCAAGAATTGCCATACACACTTGCCCAATTATATTTTTCACTCAAAATAAAAGAAATAATGTTAAATGACCAACTTACGTAGTAAAATGACCAATTTACGTAGTAAAATGATCAATTTACGTAGTGAATTGACAACTCGACGTTTGAATGAGATTGAATTTTTCAAATCCAAAAATTTTACATATTTCATTAAAAGTAATTAAAAGAATTAAGAACACGATTTTTTGCAGATTCTTATGATTGTTAACATATATGTTCAACAATTAATAATTTTTTTTAAGTAAGTTTATTTTTTAATTGTGATGAAAAAACTTAAAACATTTCATGATAACAAAAAAGTTCTATTAAAACGGTGTCGACACTGTCATAAACGTGGTACTGATACATCACCATTCTTAGAGTCGTGGATTCGTTTCCGTAAATGCAGATTATTTCAAAAACAGTATTAGGGCTATAAATAGGGGCAGCGAATTCGATGCCAGGTACCAGACAGGGATCACCAGAGTTACTAGAGAGGAGTGGTCCCTGAAATACGGGGCTTCTCCAGGGATGCTTATTAGCCTAGATCTGATGCTTTGGCAGAGAGGGCCAGCTTAACCGACAATAAGTAGATGTTCTAAAATATGGCGTCTTCTCCAGGAAAAGGCTACACAGCAGCGAGTGAACTCGATGTATCATTGGTGCAGAGAGTGCCAGCTTAACTGGCAAGATGTTTCACTAGAGATATTCCTACCGTGCCTCTGGTATAATAAGTGTAATATTAGTTAAGTGATTGGCAAATGGGTGCAGCAATACATCCCCATACATAGGTGGTGAGTGGGTAGCCCTCGTAATCAAGCCACTAGGCTGGCGAAGTAACCTGGTAATCTGAATAACAACAAATAATTTTACTTTCCTGTAAGTTTTCTAAATTTTTCTATTAATAATTTGCTGCATCATTAAAAAAAATACGTTTTTGCAGTCTTATCATGTAATTTTGACGTATAACTTTTGAATATATATATATATATTAAATAAAGTAAAAATTCTTAACTATAAAGTTACTTTTAGTGTTCCATTTTCTGTCAACAGTTCGTGACGCTCTTAACTTAAAAAGTGTTTATTTTTTTTTTAATTAATTCTTTCACCACATGATATACATAAGTATTTTAATTAGTGTAAAGTTTTCAAATATTTTTTTATGTTATAATCATCGATATCTTATAATTGGTAAATTAAGATACAACTAAAAACTATGAATACATTCCAGCAAAGAGGCATTGAGTGTGCTGGTATATTGTAGAAGTAAACTCAAAACTAAAACTAAATCTACAAGCTACCAAAATAAACTTAAAATTAGCAACAAAATTAAGACTAAGAAAATATAAGGAGAAAAAGTAAGGTAAGTGACAGAGACGCTGTTGTATATAAACAAAAATAAAAAAACTAAGGAGTATAATTGCATGGAACGATAGTTTTGTATAAACTACTGAATTAATGTATAGTCTATTTACACCAGTTTTTTAGAATTTTCTTATATCTTTTCCCTCCGATATTTCTGAATACTTTTAGTTCATGCAGAAGATAATTACACATTGTAATAGCCCTATATTTGTAACGGAATTTCCTACCACTCAGAAGACAGTTTGAAAGCAGGATGCTTCTATTTCTAGTTTTGATTGTGCTAGTAAAGAATGTGTTCTGTAGCTCTGTATATTAAAAAATATATTCCATTTCAAGTAAATTTGTTTCACTATTAATCATATTATATTTTTTGTTAAAAATATTTATAATAATTCGTTTATGAAATAATTGTAATTTATACAAAACATTTTGGTATGTAGATCCGTAAAATTCCGTGAGTCGCCATACTGTGGAATAATGCAAAGTATGTAGTAAGAAGTTTACTGGTTTTCAGTGTGAGATCCCATGTCATATATTTAATACTTATAACTTTAAAACACAGACTTTCGTTTACAAATTTAAAAAAGCCAAAGCGCAGCGATCTCGAAACATCAAGTGATACAACTGCTTCTGCAATCACATGACAGATAACTTACTTCTTTTGAAACAAGCTACCGTCGCAAAACTCGAACAACACGTGCAACTTCCAACATTCTTATACAGCGCTCATCTTACGACATCAATTCGCAGTGGTACATCCAAGAATGCAAATAATTAACAATTTCAATATTCTTTACGGCGTATGTCCACAAGAAATATCATACACAATTTCGACAACAACTTGTCCTTAATGTCAAATCCAAGAGATCAGCAGTTTTAACCATCAATTGCTGCGTAATTATTGCACCGCAAGTGCCAACCAGGCCACTGTAAACTCGCCTAAAAAGTGAATCAAGGAGGAACAAGAAAGAAAGGACCGTCGACTTGGGTATCGACGTTAAAAGCAGAAGCCTAATTATTGTCATCACCACAAGTACTCTCGTGTAGGATTAGGAACATCGTTGCGGTCAACCATGTAAGATCTTGCGACTGCATGCGCGCAAGCAGCGGCTAACCAACGTTCATATAAGTAAGTCAAGTTAAGGAAACTATAAACTGTATAAACATTGTCAATGCAAAACTGAAACTTCATTATTTATACTATTTGTAAAATTAACTATTTCTGGCTTTTCTAAATTTATTAAATCATCAGATGAGACATAAGTTGGTTGTTGATTAAATTAATTTTCTTAATTCAAAAACATTCCAACTACTAAATTATATGAAACATTCCAAGATTTAATAATTCTAATTAATTGACACATAATTTTTACCTCAATGAATAAATTCAATATCAAGGAAAAATCAAATAGACAACTTATGACAAAGACCATTACAAGGACGTGAGATAAAAAGACGAATAAGATACGCTACTACCGTATAACATAAGACATAAACTCTTACAGTAAGTCAACGCCAGCTCGGCGTACACCACTTCATACATATCGCTAGGTAAAACCTAACACTACACCACCGAGTCAACAATTTAAAAGAAAAGTATACTGTGAGTAAACGAAAATAAGGCCTTTGGGCCAACGGCTGGTTTCTGACAAAAAAAATCAAATTTGTTTGTTTGTAGAACGAATCTACGAGTTTCGCATTTTACTTATAGAAGTTCGGAAGTAACATTAGCATAAATTTGAGTCGGTAAAAGATTAATAGCAAATATTTAGTTTATTTTATGATACTATTCAAGTGATTGTTCCAACGAAACTTCTTATCCAAGATCGGGCTAGGATACTTCGCTTCATTTCTTTTAACGATTTTACGGCCATTAACAATGATGGAAATTTTTTGAAGTATTGAATTATAATATTTACCAAAAGTCATCGTTAATGTCTTTTCTATATTTTTTGCTTATTAATTTGTGAAAAACTAATAAAATATCATATTAAATTGATCTACGAATACTACTAAATGTTTTCAAGTATTTGAACTACAGAACACCGTGGTGTTATCAACAAAGGAAGTGACATCCTCAACCTGTATGAGTAATGAGTCAATGTATACAAGAAATAACACTGGAATTTCGTATTTATTTAATTATTTAGTGAGACAGGAGTATCAATGCCACCCTTATTTTTTAGAATCTGTATTGATTAACTCATGTAAGTTTATAAATAGTAAAGTAATTATACAGTTTGTTATAGATTATTTTCTCTAAAATTTTAGCAAAATTTGAGATCATAGATAGAGGTCTATAATTGGTAAACTCATGCTTATCACCTCCTTTAAGAATCGGTACAATCAATATTTGCATTTCCAAAGTATCTCGGAAAATAACCTATTTTATTACATTTATTAAATATAAAACTATGTGGTAAGGCTAGGTGCCCTCTCAATAGTTTCATAACATCGACGTAAATCCTATTTACACTACCCACCTTATTTTTAGAGATTTTTGTCACCATTGTCATGTGGTCTGAAATTTTAGCGCTTAATACAACGTCTTCGTCGCCCGACTCAACGCATCTTTATCTGGCCGAGCATGCACTCATGCTCGTTAAGCTGCCACTAATCTTGCTCCATCGCCACGAACTGCATTGCTGACCATACTGTATGTTGCTGTCTTGTGTGTGCCTGCTTCAAGCCTGTACATCAATTAACCACATGCTCCACCTCTATCAACGCTTAGGTGAGACTTTGCCAGGTATTTTTATGCTGCGCTCATCTTTGAGGTTTTTGTCTTCGCCCATGTGCATGTGTTATGCAGAGTTGTCGACACCTTAGCAGCTGTTTCAGCCTTATTTTCTACATGGCCTCATGCAGCATGCCGAAGGGCCAGCTATTTTTTCGAAGCCACGTGCTAGTCACCGCAACATTACCCATTTTTGAAACCACGTCTTGTTGCTGTCACATCGGCCATGTTGCCGCCATGCCTTCCTTGTCGCCTCCACATTTTGACACTTATCAACG